GATACTGTACTTTTGTTTTCTGCTTACTGAGTTTATAGCGGGCGTACTTCTACCGCGCTGCGCAGCGCTGCACTGGGTAATAAAAAGAATATACAACCGTTAGTGGGCGTCTTACACAGGCATGACGTTTTTACGAACAGGACTTTGCTCTCTTGTTCTATTTATACTCTTTGATTACACCAATACCCTGCAACGCTCGGGTTTCAAACATACGGGTAACTAGCTATACTGAACTTTCTGTGCAAATTGAGGGCGCCATTAAAAATGATAGTGCTTAGGCGAAATTTGATTGGCTGAATCAATGGCAGCCATCTTGGATAGTACACGCACACAACTCTGCGTATTTCGAACATCGAATGCATTGTTAGCGCTCTAGTATTCTTATTATATCCCTATGGGAGAACTTTGGCTATGTTCAGACTTACGACTTACGCTAGCGTAACGTTAATCGAGTGGTGTGAACTTGTGCGCGGCGTAGCGAACGCCAGTATTATCACGCAATCACTGGCGTACGGTAATCCAGCAACAGACCCCAGATTAGCGTACGCCACTGATTTACGACAGTCACGCATCGGTGATTTTGAACTCAGCCAAGATTTGAACAATCAAAATAAACCTAGATGTAAACAGAAAATAAAATGCGCGAATTACGAATACGAATATTTCGCGCGAATACTTACGCCGCGTTCATTAATCGCCCAGTCTGGACATCTTGCTAGTTACGCCATGGATTAACGTACGCCCGGCGTTAGATACGCCTGGCGTATCTCACAGGTCTGAACGTAGCCTCTATCTTCTGTTTCTGAACAAACATTTGAATAGAGCGATAGGCCTACGCACGCGATCAATAGAAGTACGCACTTCGGTCGTACGCGTTATTGCCGCTATAACTACGGTACGTGATTACGTAATACGCGCTAACACTTAATACTTTTCTAAAATGGAACAACAATAATAATAATAATAATAATAATCAGTTTAATAAGTCAGTTTATAAGGCGCAAATAAACAAGGTCTCTAAGTATCAAATAATAATGATAATAATAATAATAATAATAATAATAATAATAATAATGAAAAATCTATATGTTATAATAATAATAGGTCAGTTTATAAGGCGAAAATAAACAAGGTCCCTAAGCACCAAATGATGATAATAATGACATTGCAGCGTTGTAGAATATTCGTAAAATGTTTGTCACTGGTGCTGGGAACAGTCAAGAATGGGGGGGGGGGGCAGGCCCTGTTTCACCCACAGATATGAAAACGCCCACAAAATGTTATAACGCCCACAGATGTAACAACACACCGCCCACAAAATTAATGTAATAACGATCATCGCCCACAAATGCGATTAAAACATGACCTCTTCGCTCACAAATGTAATATTTTCTTTTAACTTCGAATGTAGAAATAAGTCAAAAATGGCCAAACCGCGCATTTTGTGACAGAAGCATTAACATTTTGAGCGTTTCATTTATAAGGCATGCGAACAATAAAATTCAACCCAGGTAACAATCCCACATGGGGCCTATATGCAAAATATCTGGGAAAAGTCTTATGGGCTACAACTTTTTTTTTACCTTTATGGGATCCGTCTGGGCAATCACATATGGGCCTTGCCCATGGTTTACCCATATGGAGCCCATATGCCAAATATATAGGCAAATATATATGGGAATGCCCATATTTAAAGTACATCGGCCCCATATGGTAAATACCTGGGCAGATAAATATGGAAATGCCCACATTTAAGCCGCATGGGGCCCATGTGCCAAATAACTGGGAAAATACATATGGGCATGCCCATATTTATCTACATGGGACCCACATGCCAAATACCTGAGTAGTTGAATATGGGTGTGCCCATATTAATTTCGCATATGGCCCATGTGCCAAATATATGGGAAAATAGATATGGGCATGCCCACATATATAATATACATGGGACCCATATGCCAAATACATGGGCAAGTAAATATTGG